TCGCCGCGCCGTTGCCCCGTGCGGGCGGCGGCGCGACGCCGGCGCCCTGCGCCACTGCGGCCGGCACGTACATCTGCTCAAGATGCGCCAGCTCAGCGTAGTCCAGCCCCAGCCGCTGGCAGGCCTTGACGCGCTGCTCCGCGCGGCAGATGCCGACCGTCGGGATGTTGTAGATCACAAACATGAGGTCCTGCTCCAACACTGAGCACGCGAAAACGAGGTACGCCCGATTCATGCGAGTGGGCTTCATGAATTCAATTCCCGAGAACTCGTAGTCGTGCGCCATTAGCCCGTTTGCCGTCGGCGCGCGGCCGAACGCGCCGGCCCGCGCGCCGCCCGCGGCCGCGGACAGCAGCGCGCGCGCGTCGGGGTCGCCGGCCCAGGCGGCGCTGAGGAGGGCGGGGTCGGCGCCGGCGGCGCGGAGGGCGGCGGCTGTCGAGGAGGGGGGGAGGCCGTAGCCGCTGCTGCTGGGGGCGCGCGCCGCCATCTCCGCCGGGAGCGGCTGCGGCGCCAGGAAAGTGGCAGCATGATGTTGGTGATGAAGGCAAGGGGATAGGGCGGATCGCCGTCACCCCGCGCTGCACAAGGGGACGCATGGGCTCGATCGCAACTTGTCAGGCGACTGAGGCAGCAAACAGGGCCATTGTTGCTACTATGGTACGCACGCCCTGGCCAGTCGCGGCGGCTGCTCGCGGCTGCTGAGGGCGCGTGAAAAGGCCCGGCGGGCGGCCCCGCCCTCTCACATTGTCGCGCGCGGTGCCGTCAAAGTTGTGAGTGACGCACACGTTGCCCTTCAGCTCTGTGATGGGCTTGCGCAGCTGCGCGGGGGCGACGAGGCCATGGTGGCGAGAAACATGGAGTTGACCGGTCAGCCGGCCCGAAGCAACCATCGCAGAGCCACGGCGCCCGCCTTTCTTCTCCCTCCTCCATAGTAAAACAATCAAACATGCCCTCACACACTTGCACACACATGAACACGCATGCGTGCACGCGCGCGCACACACACACACACACACACACACACACACACACACACGCACACACACACTTGCACGCACGAGAACACACACGCTAACTCTCTCTCACACACTCGGCACCCACCGGCGCAGCTTCCGGGTCAAGAAAGTCCTCCGGCACCCACTCCGGCACGCTGTCCTTCTCCTGCTGCCCAATGACGTAAGCCTTAACGGTCAGCGGGAAGCTGCAGCGGTCTTGAAATTGGACCTCCACGCGGACAGTAAAATTTGGAGTTAGGCGCCTGGGGTGGTGGGGCGGTGAGGGTCGAGCATGTTGATTTGGGTGCTGGGGGCGGTGTCGGGCCAAGTGGGGCCTGGTTGGGGACCTTGTGCGGTCGCATGCGGCAGTTTGCCGAGGGTGGTGCTCCCTGCATGCGCGTGCCACCCGCTGTCTGCGCATGCTGGGCCCCACATGCGCATGCTGCACATTATGCGCGCATGCGCTGCCGCACTGAATGCGCATGTGGCGCCAGATTGAGTGGCTAACAGATACAAGTTCACCGGGGGCCACCAGGCAGCCACCGGGCCTCACAGCCACTGCCGCATGCGCAAAGCACGCCCCTCAACGTACACGTAAGACATCAGCGCTGACGCCGGCCGGGCCGGGGAGCCTGCATGCGCGCACGCAGGGGCCGCTGCGCGTATGCGCACCTGTCCTGCTTCACCGGCACAGCGAACTCGGCCGGCGCGTCCACAATGCGCAGCGTGACGCGGCAGGGCGCCAGGCCATTGTATAGAAGCGTGTCTTCCAGGAAGGCGCTCTCCTCCTGCGCGAGCTCCTCTGCAAAGCGCCGGCTGGTCGCGAGCTCCCAGCCGCCGCCGCAGACGTGCGCCTCGGGCTGCGTCTTGTAGCGCACGTACTGCGTCTGCCACCGCTCCACGCTGGGCATGCTGTCGCGCTTCGCGACTTTGTCCGGGAGGTCTGCGGGCGGGGGCGGCGGGAGCGCGCGCGCGGGCGCGGCCGGGGGCGGAAGGCGCCGCGCGGGGGCCAGGTCAGGCCGCGGGTCGAGACGGTAGAGCAGGGTGGGCGTGCAATTGCTTGCATGGCTAGGACGGCGGGGCTGGTGATCAGGCAGCACACATGATGCTCCATGCGGTACAATTAGGCGGTGGGCAAGGCCACCGCATTCCCAGCGCGGCGCACGGCGAGCGGGGACCAGCCAGCGCGTAGCCCGGAACGGCGCCGCCGCTGGTGGGCCCGGTAAAGGGTGCTACTGCCGCCTCCAACGTGTCTGCACCTCTGCATTTACACTGCGTGCGAGACACCCTTCCGAACACGGCTCCCACCTGAGCTCCACCATGGCAAAGGGACATGCGGGGGGCTGGGCATGGCCACCAACGCAGGCCACCGCCGGAGCTCGCTGCCGTCCCCCGCGCCTGCTTTCTGCTAGAGAGCGATGCGGGGTCACAGGCGCCGGGTTGTCCGGATTAGCAGCATCGAGATCGTGTCTGCCTGCTCAACCGCGCTGAAGAACGTCACAGTAAGCGGTGTGATAAGACTTTTGCTACATAAGCATCCAATACGCGGCCCGCCGTGCACTGCCAGCACCCTTTACCTGGGGGTTCGCACCACTCGCAGGGCGAGAAGACGCCAAAAGACAGAGACCAGGGTCACCTCACCCGCAAAGGTGTCGGTTTCAAATAGCATCCAGTGGGCTTGCTGGCCGCGGCTGTGCGCTCATGCAGCAGGTGCAAGCGCCACAGCTGACAGGCTCCACACTACCCACCCGCCAAATCAAGGGGCGTCGGCGACGCAGCCCCACACGCGCATGTGCCCGCTGCCCGCTCCCCGCTCGGCCACCTCCGCGCCCGCCGATCAGTGGGACCCACCCGCAGCGGCCAAAGGGCTCATGATCGCATGCAACGGCGGCCGAGCCCCTCTAAGAGAGTTCCCAACGTGTTTGACTGAAGCGCTGCCTGTTGTCGCAGCCGCCGGCCTTCAACCTCAAGGCGACTGCAGTAACGCCGCGCCCTGTTCCGCATCGCGCGTCTGCTGTCACCGCAGGTTGATGTGGGCCTGCTGTTGAATGGGCGCAGGCGTGCTCAAGCGTGACAAACAATCCCCGGCACTACAGGGTCCACCTGGCGTTGCCCCCTCGATTGGGTGGGTGCCGTTGCATATGACTGTCGGCCCGCCCAAAATGTGCGACGCACTGCCTTCGCCTCCATGACCGCAGCCGCGAGTGGCGTCGTGCGCACTGCGTGGCGCATGGACGGCTGCCTGCCTGAAACCAGTTGCATCCTGGTGGGGCCAGCCCGCAGAAACTTGTCGGCCTCCTGCATGCCATCAGTGCCATCACCCACACACAACCCCTGTCTCTCTGTCTCTCTGTATCTGTCGCTCTCTTTCCAGTTTACATGATTAGCTGTGCAGCTGCATGCACACACCACTGTTGCTGTTTCGCTTGCCAATCGCCATCACCATATTCCATTGCCAACCGAACTCCGGAATGTCATCCTGGGGAACCAGCTTCAAGGAAAGTCAGGCTAATAGGGGGTGAGCTGGGTCGAGGCCGCCTTTGCAACAGCCGTGTTGGCCACTGCTGCAAGGCGCAACGGCTGCTCAAGCAGGCAATCATAACTGCGCCTGACAGCTGCAGCGACTGCCCACTCAGAGAGCTGGGGCGGAGTTCTCATCTTCATCGGGAACCGTTGATCCAAGTTTGAAATGCGATACAGGGCGCAGCTGGCTGCAGCTCCTTTGTCTGAGGCTGCAATCTCACGGGCGCTGGCATGGTCACGCGTTGGTTGAGGTTTGCATTTCTCCGCACCAGGGACACAGGGGCCGCAAGGGCGGCCAAGGGTGCTGTTCCGCCGTGCGCACCTAGTCAATGCAGACCCTTGCGGTCATGCGGCAGTGATCCGCTGCCGAGGTGTCCGAGGTGCACCGACTGACTCTGCTGGGTCGATTCGGGCAGCAGCAGTGCTGCATGCTGCTGCTGCGCTGCATATGCCCGCCCGTCGCACCCCGTTCTGCAAGATTGACAACGGCTCCCCCCTTTCTGCATGCTGGTTGCGGGCTCTGCGGCCACTGGCAAACGGCCTCGACAACGTTGCGAGAAGCTGGGACCCATCCGCACTGTCCGCGCGTTCACACCCCACATTGCCTCGTTTGTTATAGGGCGCGACAGCAGTGTCTTGCTGCGCGCACCCACCGGTGCCTGCGCAGGTCGCCACGGCTCAGGCGCGCGCATGCGCGCTGGCAGCGTGCCTGCCCTTCCGGCCGGCCGCCGCGCCCGTGCCGTCGCAACAGGGACAGACCCAGGGCGCCCGTCGACAACAGCATCCCTTCTCACAACGCAGAAAGGCGACCACGGCAGGTTCGCTCGCGCCCTTCCCGCCAACCGCTTTTCGCGCGGCGTCAGCGCGTGTTGGCAGGGCGAGGCGCGCCTCGCCCCCTCTGCTGCGGCGGCGCGACTCGATGGATTCTCTTGCCCGGGGACCGCTGAGTAATGGCGCGCGGCTGAGGCACGTAGGGCAGCCGGGCATTCACGCAGCAGCCTGGGGGGGTGCACAAGCACGCCCAGTTGCACACCAGGACCCAACCCGCTCAGACCCAGGCCAGAAACAGCTCCACATGTTACCAAAGGCTTGCATGTTCACGCGACGGACAAGCAGCGAAACGGGGGCACGAGAAACGCTGCGCACAGCACAATAAACAACACACCGCGCTGCGAGCGCCCTGCCCGGCCCGCCTTGCCATGTACCACCACCCGGCGCGCCGCCCCCGGTCCGCCGCTCACACCTCGATCGTCGCCGGCCCGGCCTCTGCATCGAAGTCGCCCATGCCCCCATCCTCCTCCTCCTCGCTGCTGCGGTCCGCGTCCCCATCCACCTCCTTGTTAGCCGCCTCCAGCGCCTCCAGCTTCTCCGCCAAGAGCCTGTCGTCCCGCTCGCTGACCGCCCGCGGTGCCTCCTTCACCACCAGCTTGCCCTTCGCGCCCTCCACCGCCGCGCGGCACGCGTCGCACGCCGCCTGCAGCAGCTCGACGCCGCGCCCCTTGTCGAGCGACTGCGTCGTGAGCACGTACAGCGGCGGGGCCACGAGCTTCATCTTGACCGCGCACTCCTCGGTGGACACGCCCTCGGCGGCGTGCATGGCGGCCTTGATCTTCTCGATGCCGTCGTAGGCGAAGCAGGTCATCTCCACGTCAGCGCGGATCTTGAGGGGCTGCGGGGTCATGCGGCGCTTGATGTTCTTCAGCAGCTGGTCGCGGACCTTTGGGG